AGGAAGGTCAGGAAGAGAGGGATAAGATAAGAGAAAGAGAGGGAGAAAAATTAGGAAAGGAAGGAAGTTTAGAAAGGGAAGGATAAGAAGGAAGGGAGGGAGAACGAAGAACATTGAAATACAAGTTTTAAAAACGAAGCATGCTTTATAGGTGGTTCTGAATTCCAGATGAGCGATTTCCAAGAATGAATAAATAATAAATTATACCGTACTTCTTTGATGATATACAGGTACTCCTCGACTTATGACAATTGAGCCCAAAATTTCTGTAGCTAAGTGAGACATTTGTTCAGTGAGTTTTGCCCCATGTTACGACTGTTCTTGCCACAGTTGTTAAGTGAATCACTGCAGTTCTTAAATTCTGTGACGTTGTTTTTAAGTGAATCAGGATTCCCCATTGAATCTCCTTGCCAGGAGGTTACAAGATTATCACAAAACTCCGGGACACTGCAACCGTCATAAATATGAGTCAGTTGCCAAAGCATCATGTGACCACAGTAATGCTTCAAATGTCGTAAGTGTGAAAAATGGTCATAACTCACTATTTCCAGTGCCATTGTAACTTTGAATGGTCATTAAACTAACTGCTGTAAGTTGAAGGCTTTACCTGTATTTGCTACTCTAGTTTGTGTGTTCATAAGTTTACATGTGACGCTAAACCATTAACTAGGATTCCTAGATACTAAAGGATTCAGGGTGATTTTTAGTGACAATGTCTGCATTTACATAACACACTAAGCCAAACACATCTTAGATCAGGGGTCTCCAACCTTGGCTTTGCTGGCTGGGGAATTCTGGGAGTTGAAGTCCTCCAGGCTTAAAGTTGACAAGGTTGGCGACCCCTGTCTTAGATTACCGTTTACAGCCACATCTGGTTTAAATTTTTCTTCTCTTGGCACACAAAATCACAAAGGCCCGCTGTGACCCTCAGCTATGCAAAAAATGTAATATAAACAATGTGGTTGCCTGTTGCCAGAAAGTTGCCCACTCTGACCTAGAGAATATTTCTGTCCTTTTTAGAAATTATCCCAACCACCTACTGGGCTCTAGTTTCCTTTTTATGTAGCCTTCCCAGTGGGACTTTTCAAAGCAGATTATTCCAAGCCATAAATCTGCACTAGTATTCAAATTCTAGCCACAGCATTGTTATTATTCATTTCAATAAATATAATTTTAAAAAAAATAGTTGGGGAAATGTGAATTTAAGTGTAATGGCTATAGAGGTAGTCCTTGACTTACAATCACAGTTGAGCCTAAAATTTTTGTTGCGGAGCAAGACATTTGTTAAGCAAAATTTGTCCCATTTTACGACCTTTCTCGCCACAGTTGTTAAGTGAATCACTGCAGTTGTTCAATTAGTAGCATGGTTATTAAGTGAATCTGGTTTCCCTGTTGACTTTGCTTGTCAGAAGGTCGCAAAAGGGACATTGCAACCGTCATAAATAGGAGTCAGTTGCCAAACACCTGAATTTTGATCATGTGGCCATGGAAATGCTGTAATGGCTGTAAGTGTGCAAAATGGTCATAAGTCACTTTTTTTTAATGTCGTTGTAACTTCGAACTGTTGTAAGGCGAGGACTACCTGCATTTTACCCCCTCTCTTTTTGCAAAAGATGGACAAAACTCAGAGATCTTTTTATGGTACAACCTTTGAAGTTTGCAAACTGATTTAGGCTGAACAATCTCCTTCCTACCATCAAATCCACAATGTCGGCTAAAAGGGAAATTGCAACTGCCAAATAGATCACCCGTGAGTCTATTACAGCTAAACACTGCATTATAAATGCCAAAGAAACCAGATAAGGCCAGACTTCGTCTTGAACAGAGATCTATTTTTCCACAATCTGAAAGGAGCCACAGTAAAGTCATCTGCTCAAGTAGAACATCTGTTTTACAGGCATGCACATTTTTTAAAAAAGCAGGAAGAGTCAATCAAATCTTTTTTTCCCCCTCCTTCCTCCCGAGGATGTAAGATTACCTTCATATGTTTAGAATTTACTTTCACCAACATCTCCATACATGACAGACATAACAAAAAGCTTATTTTTCTCTCCTTTTTAGTAAGAATCTTCATATTAGGCTGATGGGTCACAAGATCCCCGCATTGTCTTAAAAAAAACAAACTAATTTATACTTACTAGTATTAAATAATTAATAGTATTAAATAATAATTAATTTGCTATTGTAAATTACTAATTTGTTAGTATATTTCAAAAGGCATGAAAAATGAGAAAGCAAGAGGGAAAAGAGTGAAGCTGCCTTTGGAAACATATACACACACGAACACCCTCTAATCTTTTAAAATTTTTGTTTATTTGTATCCCACCTTTATTATTTTTACAAATAACTCAAAGTAGTGAACACGTTTTCTTCTTCCTATTTTCCCCTCAACAACAACCCTGTGAAGTGGGACTGGTTCAAATTCACCCAACTGGCTTTCACGTCAAAGGCGGGACTAGAACTCTCAGTGTCCTGTTGATTGGCCCAAAGTCA